TCTGAGCACTGCTTTAGTTGCAGCCCATAAGTTTTGATATATTGTGCATATTATCATTGCTATATTTTATAAATTGATATATTATCAATCATCACACCCTCTAGAGTTACACGCATTTTTTTGGTTCTATACTGTTTTATTTCTGTCCTTAAAACACACATACAAAGTTACAATATTGAAATTATTATTTTATACAGAGAATGTTTATTTATATTTTTATAGAATTATTAATTTGCTTGCCATTTTTTCAAGCATCTCAGGACTTCTTTCTGTTATAATATTTGTTTTTTTGAAATATATATATTTTTTGCTAAAATAATGTGCTTTATTCAGTTATCTAACATGTAAGAAATACAGAGGTAATTCCTGTACCAAATGTTTTATATTTGGTATATATTTTTTCTCTTCTCTTCTATAATCTGCTTATATGGCATGACTTAACTGTTCTTTTTTTATTATTTTTTTTTTTTTTTAATTTTTTTTTTGAGACAGAGTCTTACTCTTATTGCCCAGGCTGGAGTGCAGTGCTGTAATCTCAGCTCATTACAACCTGTGTCTCCTGGGTTCAAGTGATTCTCTTGACCCAGCCTCCCAAGTCACTGGAATTATAGGCGTGCGCCACCACGCCTGGCTAGTTTCTGTATTTTTAGTAGAGATGGGGTTTCACCATGTTGGCTAGGCTGGTCTCGAACTCCTGACCTCAGGTGATCCACCCTCCTCGGCCTCCCAAAGTGCAGGGAGCCTCCCAAAGTGCGGGGATTATAGGTGTGAGCCATTGCACCCAGCCAACAACTGTAAAAAAAAAAATTGTTTTAATTGTAGTAGTTGTAGATATTTATGGGGTACATGAAATGTTTTGATGCTGACATGCAATGTATAATAATCATATCATGTAAAATGGGGTATCCATCCCCTCAAGTATTTATCCATCCCCTCAAGCATTTATCCTTTGTGTTACAAAGAATCCAATTATACTATTTTAGTTATTTTTAAATATAATTAAATTATTGACTGTAGTTACCCTGTTGTGCTATCAAATATGAAGTGTGTTGTTTAGAAATTTCTTTCATATATGAGACAGTGATTGTAAACTGTCCGTTTTTTGTTTTTTATTTATTATTATGATTCTTTTTGAGACAGAGTCTTGCCCTGTTGCCCAGGCTAGAGTGCCATGGCATTATCTTGGCTCACTGCAACCTCCACTACCTGGATTTAAGCAATTTTCGTACCTTAGTCACTCGAGTAGCTGTGGTTACAGGTATGCGCCATCACACTCAGCTAATTCTTTTTTTTTTTTTTGTATTTTTATTAGAAGCAGGGTTTTGCCATGTTGGTCAGGATGGTCTTGAACTCCTGGCCTTAAGTGATCTGCCTGCCTCGGCCTCCAAAAGTGTTGGGATTACAGTGTGAGCCACTGTGCCCAGCCAACTTTCAGTTTTTTTAAATCTTAAAGTATCTTCTTTTCACTCTCTTTTCTGAAAAAAGTAGGGTTTTGTGGAGTGGTGTGTTTTTTTTTGTTGTTTTTTTGGTTTTTTTTTTTTGGTTATTCTGAAGGTTAGACAGTAGAAAAAAATAGTTTGGATCATATACAATTGTTTATTGATAGTTACTTTTCTTTTTTTCCTTTTTTGAGATGGGGTTTCACCATGTTGCCCAGGCTGGTCTCAAACTTGTGGGCTCAAGCGATCTGCCCTCCTTGGCCTCCCAAAATGCTAGGATTACAGGTGTGAGCCACCACATCTGGCCAATCTACTTTCTTAAAACCTTAAATATTATTCCTGTGACTTCTGCTACCATGTTGCTATAAGAAGGCCACTATATGTCTAATTTCAATACTCTGTAGGGATTCTGTCTTATCTCTCTGTCTTTAATTTTTTTTTTTTTTTTACCTAGGCTCAGGGATGTTTTTATGGTCTGTCTTGTCTCTCCAGATGCATTTTTCTGTTCCCCTTTAGCATATTGCATGTTCACTACATTGAGTATGGGTTTCTTTTTATTTCTCTTGGAATACTTAAAAGTAAGACTTCCTTTATCTGTGGATTCATGTCTTTAGTTTTGAAAAATTGCCAGCCATTGTCTCTTCAAATACAGATGGTCCCTGACTTACATTAATTCAACTTATGATTTTCAACTTTATGATGGTGTGAAAATGATACATATTTAGTACACCCCTTAACCTATGATGGTGATGGCATTGCATCTGGATAAACCCATTGTAAATCGAAAATGCTGTAGGTCAAAAATGTACTTTCAACTTAGGATAGTTTCCACTTAAGGTATTTTCAACTCACAGTGTGTTTATCGGGATAAGTCTGAGAGCATCTATATTATCTCTCCTTCATTTTCTCTTTTCTATTCTTTTGAGACTTCACTTATATGCATACTGTACTTTCTATTTTCCTTATTTTTAAGTCTCTGTCATATTTTTTATCTTCTGTTTTTGCTTTGATGCAGTCTAGGTAATTTTAAACTCTGTCTTCCAATTTAATAATTCTTTCTTCTGAATCTAATCTATTTAACTTACCCATTGCCTTTTTTTTTTTTTTTTTTGAGACAGGGTGTCACTGTGTCACCCAGGCTGGAGTGCAGTGGCATGATTATGGCTCACTGCAGCCTCAGACTCCTGGACTCAAGAGATCCTCCCACCTCAGCCTCCCGAGTAGCTGGGACTGCAGACCCACACCACCATACACGGCTGATTTTTAAATTTTTTGTAGAGACAGGCTCTCATTATGTTGCCCAGGCTGGTCTCGAATTCCTGGCCTCAAGCAATCCTCTTGCGTTGGTCTCCCAAAGTGCTGGGATTATAGACATGAACCACTGTTTCTGGCCCCATTGACTTTCTAATTTCAGCAGTTTTTTTTTTTTTTGAGACAAAGTCTTGCTCTGTCACCGAGGCTGGAGTGCAGTGGCGCCATCTCGGCTCACTGCAACCTCCACCTCGTGGGTTTAAGCAATTCTGCCTCAGCCTCCCAAGTAGTGAGGATTATAGGCATGCACCACCACGCTTAGCTAATTATTGTATTTTTAGTAGAGACAGGGTTTCCCCATGTTGGCCAGGCTGGTCTCAAACTCCTGACCACAAGTGATCCACTCACCTGGACCTCCCAGAGTGCGGAGATTACAGGCATGAGCCACTGTGCCCAGCCTGTTTTTTTAAAAAAATTAAACTTTTGATAGTTTTTATTATTTGCTTATCTCTGTGATTCATTTTTTTAGATATTAAATAATTACATTATGTTCAATCTTAGATGTTTCCAATATGGGAAGTCTTTAGGGGCTGTCTGAATCTGGTGATTCATTCGCATGGTGGCTAATTTCCTGGGTTTTTTTTTTTTGGTATTCTTTGATTGTTAGCTTATATTTGATTGATTTTAATATGAAAGAAAACTGGAGTCTTAACTGGGCTTCTTTTTCTCCAAATAGTAGCTGCATTTTTTTCTTACCAGAAGCCAGGTTACACTCTTCACCCCGAACCTTTCAGGTTGTTATCCTTATCTTGGGAGTTTTAAGTGTTCTTCCCCTACCAGCTACTTGTCCCAACTTCAGTTTCTTAGCCACAAAACTAATGTATTAGAACTACCCTTGGGGAAAGTTTCTTCTTTGTTTATGCTCACCTCTTTGGTTTTGCTTTTTTGGGGTTGCAGGGAGAGGAGGGTGGTCATTGGAGTGAGGAATGACCTTTGATTGTTGGCACTTCTTGTAGCAGAGCCTGGACACAAAATAAATATTTTATTTTTGGTCAACTTTCTGTTTTTTGTTTTGTAGCAAGACAGTTTTTTTAACAGTATCTTTTTGCCATATTGCCGCTAATGGGAGGCTCTTTTTATTTTGAAACCCCTTCTAAATAATTTTATTCTCAAGTAATATAGGTATAATATATAAAATTCAAAAATAATCCAGAAAGTTATAAATTCAGATTGCTTTTACTTCCATAGCCCAAGGTAACTACAGGCTTTTTGGAATTTTTGTAATTGATTTTTTACTTGATTAGGTTATAAGTGATCATTTAAAATCTTAAAGAAGAAGCAAGTAAAAGATACTTTATAGCCATATATTAAAACTGGACCGATTTTGTAGCTTTACAGAAATTGCCCCAATTGAGAACTACTGTACTAGACCTAAGTGGCTCAGAGTTATTGGTATATATATTTCTTCATTTTCTTTTTTTAAATATCTCTTCCTTTTCAAAGCTTGTCAAACTAATGTTAAGTGGTATACTTGTCTATTAATGGTAAAAATTGTATATATATATATGTATGTATATATAAAATATCTGTCTACACCAGGATATCTGTTTCAAAATTGTATAATGCTACAATAGGGCATACCCAACTCATAAAGTTGAAAAACTTTATTTGCATTAAATCTCTGGTAATATGAGAATTTTAGAAGTATTTGAAGGGGTATACCAGTACCTTGTCACATAAAATAAATCTTAAAAAGCCAGTACAGAAGTGTAGTTAAAGATAGGATGAGGGGGCCGGGCGCGGTGGCTCAAGCCTGTAATCCCACCACTTTGGGAGGCCGAGACGGGCGGATTACGAGGTCAGGAGATCGAGACCATCCTGGCTAAAATGGTGAAACCCTGTCTCTACTAAAAAATACAAAAAAAAACTAGCCGGGCGAGGCGGCGGGCGCGTGTAGTCCCAGCTACTCGGGAGGCTGAGTCAGGAGAATGGCCTGAACCCGGGAGGCGGAGCTTGCAGTGAGCTGAGATCCGGCCACTGCACTCCAGCCTGGGCGGCAGAGCGAGACTCCGTCTCAAAAAAAAAAAAAAAGATAGGATGAGGGAACTATATAACACTAATTTTTTGACCTGCATTGAATGTATTCTGGTGCCTTGGCAAGTCATTTTAAAAAATGTTAGTTTTTTAGTCTATAGAATGGAAATGATTTTACCTAAATTATATGGGGTACCACAGTAGTGAATATGAGAGATTTTTTAAAGATAAAACATACTAACTGCTTTAGTTGATCCACTATTTAAACTCTTTCAGCTGTTAAATAATAGAAGAAAATGGAATTGAATATGATGTCAGCATGGAACAATCTAATGATTCATTAAGAGTCAACCATAATGATGGTGAAGAGTCAAAAACCGATGCTCAAGTATTTGAGGTATGGATTCAGCCGGGAACTTTTTTCCATCCTAGGGTAAAACAGTGTGCCATTTAACAGCTCTTTATGCTCAAGGAATAGCTATTATATTTAGTGTATTCAAGAATTTTGGGCTGGGTGCGGTGGCTCATGCCTGTAATCCCAGCATTTTGGGAGGCCGAGGCGGGTGTATCACCTGAGGTCAGGAGTTCAAGACCAGCCTGGCCAACGTGGAGAAACCCTGTCTGTACTAAAAATACAAAAATCAGCCGGGCATGGTGGTGAGCGCCTGTAATCCCAGCTACTTGGGAGGCTGAGGCTGGAGAATCACTTAAACCCAGAAGGCAAAGGTTGCTGTGAGCCAAGATCCCACCATTACAGTCCACAAGAGTGAAACTCCATTTCAAAAAAAAAAAAAAGCGAAAAGAATTTAGGCCGGGCGTGGTGGCTCATGCCTGTAATCCCATCTCTTTGGGAGGCTGAGGCGGGTGGATCACAAGGTAAGGAGATCGAGACCATCCTGGCTAACATGGTGAAACCCCATCTCTACTAAAAATACAGAAAATTAGCCAGGCGTTGTGGCAGTCGCCTACTCTGGAGGCTGAGGCAGGAGAATGGCATGAACCCGGGAGGAGGAACTTGCAGTGAGCCAAGATAGCACCATTGCACTGCAGCCTGGGTGACAGAGCAAGAGTCTGTCTCAAAAAAAAAAAAAAAGAATTTTAATATTTAATTATACACATATTTTATGAAATATTTAACAATACAGAACTTAATACTTAGATATATTCATAAAAATTTTATATACAGAGAAAAATCTAAAGGTTGAATTATATTACATTATTTCAGGTTCCATTCCTGTGGATAATTTTGATAAAATTAAGATAATAAATATAATAATCAACAATTTTACTTAAGAAATGCTTTCTGTGTATAGCAATTTGTATGAATTGACAACTCTTACAAAAAAGTAAAAACAACTGAAAAATGGATATCTTTTCATTTTTATTATACCCATCTTTAAAAAAAAATGGTGACAGTATATCCTGAAAAGACTGAAGTGATTTTTTTTTTTCTTTGCAAAAGCATCTAACCTGTATGGACTCCAGGGATTCTTCCTTTGGACAAAATGATTCTCCTGCAGTTTTGCCCATCACTACTCCTGAAGCAAATAATTCACTCATATCACAGAATATAACAGGGCCCCTGACTCAGACACAGACTCCTTCTGCAGAGCATTTCCATCTAGTGGACCAAAATGGGCAAGCTATTCAATATGAACTTCAGTCACTGGGGGAATCCAATGCACAAATGGTGAGTATATTTTGTAAGTAACCAGTTTTATGCTCTTTAGCAAAATATATTAGTCTTACTAAATGACCTTAATTTCTGGACACTTTTGATTTACATCATGTTTATTTATTTATTTATTTTTGAGATGGAGTTTCACTCCTGTTGCCCAGGTTAGAGTGCAATGGCACGATCTTGGTTCACTGCAACCTCTGCCTTCCAAGTTCAAGCAATTCTCCTGCCTCAGCCTCCCGAGTAGGTGGGATTACAGGTGCCCACCACCACACCTGGCTAATTTTTTTGTTTTTTTAGTAGACGCAGGATCTCACCATGTTGGTCAGGCTGGCCTCAAACTCCTGACCTCAGGTGATCCATGCGCCTTGGCCTCCCAAAGTGTTGGGATTACAGGCTTGAGCCACTGAGCCCGGCCACATTGTGTTTAAAATAGTGTTTCCATGACTTTCATTTTTATGTAAGGATTTTAAAAGATTTCCATTCAGGACTACAAATAGTACTTTAAATAAAGAGTACTTAACCAGTCTCTGTGTTTGGGCACACTTGTGCTTTGAGATCAATTGGAAATGTAACATAATCTGTAACTAGTTCTGAAGTGCCAGAGTTGACGTGGAACTTACATTTAATGGAACATACACACACACACACACACACACAGAGACAGACACATATTAGACTAAACTCCAGTTTGTTTGTTTGTTTGTTTTCCAAGACGGAATCTTGCTCTGTCGCCGAGGCTGGAGTGCAGTGGCGTGATCTCGGCTCACTGCAGCCTCCTCTGCCTGGTTTCAAGCAGTTCTCTTGCCTCATCCTCCTGAGTAACTGGGATTACAGGTGCCTGCCATCACACCCGGCTAGTTTTTGTATTTTTAGTAGAAACGGGATTTCACCACGTTGGCCAGGCTTGTCTTGAACTCCTGACCTCGTTATCCACCCACCTCAGCCTCCCAAAGTGCTGGAATTACAAGCGTGAGCCACCGTGCCCGGCCTAAACTCCAGGTTTTGATTTATCAGCATCTCACTGACCTCCAAGCCACTTTCTGGTATCTTTTCTTGAAGAAATAGAAAGTAATGGAGGTAATGCAATGGAGGTACCACTAGTATATGGGGAATTAGACATATCCTTGCTAATCTTTGTGGGTAAATGTGTGCCACGTGAGTCAGAATGCATAAAGATAAAAAGATGAGGATGGCTAAATACTTTTCAAATTGTTAGCTAAAAGTATTTTTGACCAAGTTCATAGTTTGAGCCAAAGAGGTGAAAGATTGTTTTGACTGACATATGGAAAATTACTAAGAAAAACCTCTAAGTGGCTCTCTGGTTATTTAGAATATACTTAACATAAGTAATACTATGAAGGATAACGTGTCTCTTGTATACTTGAATTTTCCAAATTTTCTACAATGAGTATCTATTACTTTCATAATAAAAATTATTTTTAAAAGTGTAACAACTTTAATTATAAATTACACCACAGGTAAAAATTGTACCTAGAATTAACCCTTGTTTCTGTTCATAATCTAGAGCATTCTAGAGTTAATCTATGCCATTTTGCTCCTTTATGATCCAGCCAAATTGAGTTATCTAAATTCTAGGGGTAAGAATAATTGGTTGAGAGGTGACTATGTGCAGGGGAATCCTTCTTGTTTATGTTCGAGCTTTCTGGGACTTAGACCAGAGCCATACTGCATCACCAGCAAAAGTTAATATTCAACAAATAATTTAAATGTTAACCAACTACATTTTAATTTTTCATGTCCAGAATGAAGTACTTCTGTAGTTTCCCCTTTATTTGACGTTTATTCTAGTTTCTATCAGAACATTTAGAAAGTTTTTTTTTTTTTCTTCCAACAGGAAGATCAAGGAGTCTGAATGTGTCAAAGGGTTGTCATTTTACCTAGGGTACCTTTCCGAGCAAAGTTGTTTATTTGAGTTCAAAAAAAAGTTAATTAATACTCTTTGTAATTGGATTAAACTTTCTATACAAAGTAAGTACAAAAGTGGTTTTACATTGTTTAGGTAGGAGATGACACAGAAGGTTATTTGAAACCGTGGAATAGGAAACATGGTATGAAGCATGGAAAAAAAAATGTGAGAAACAGATTATAAGAAAGAATTTTCTTCAAAGAACTGAAGATCAGAGAGAGAATATTCCTGGAAACTTAATGGAACTTTTGGGTTCGTTTGTTTCAGTGGACTGTATTTTTTAGAGCAATTTTAGGTTCATGACCAAAGTGAGCAGAGGGTACACAGATTTTCATATATATATACACTTGCAGTACCTGCACATGGTACAGTATCCCCCTTTATCAACATCTCCTACCAAATGGAGCTATTTGGTGTTTTTTTGTTTTTGGTTTTGGTTTTTTAGTTTTTTTTTTACTTTAGGTTCAAGGGTACATGCGAAGGTTTGTTATGGAGGTAAACTCAGATTGTACAGGTTATTTCATCCACCCATGCATTAGGCCTAGTACCCAATAGTTATTTTTTCAGCTCTTCTCCCTCCCACCCCCCACTCTGAAGTAGATCCCATTGTCTGTTGTTCCCTTCTTTGTGTTCATAAGTTTTTATCATTTAGCCCCCACTTGTAAGTGAGAATATGCAGTATTTGGTTTTTTGTTCCAGTGTTAGTTTGCTAAGGAAGTAGCCTCCAGCTCCACCTGTTCCCACAAAAGACATGATCTTGTTCTTTTTTATGGCTGCATAGTATTCCATGGTGTATATGTACCACATTTTCTTTATCTAATCTGTCAGTGCTGGACGTTTAGGTTGATTCCATTTGTTTGCTATTGTGAATAGGGCATTAATGAACATTCACATGCATGTGTCTTTATGGAAGAATGATTTATATTCCTCTGGGTATATATCCGATAATAGGATTGCTGGGTTGAATGGTTGTTCTGTTTTTATCTCTTTGAGGAATCACCATACTGCTTTCTACAATGGTTGAACAAATTTACACTCCCACCAGCAGTGTATAAGTGTTCTCTTTTCTCCACAACCTCACTAGCATCTGTTATCATTTGACTTTTTAATAATAGCCATTCTAACTGGTGTGAGATAGTATCTCATTGTGGTTTTGATTTGCATTTTTCTAATGATTAGTGATATTGAGCTTTTCTTCATATGCTTGTTGACTGCATGTATGTCTTCTTTTTGAAAAGTTTATGTTCAAACTAGACAAAACTACTTTAAATTTCATATGGAACCAAAAAAAAAAAAGCCCGTATAGCCAAGACAATCCTAAGCAAAAAGAACAAAGCTGGAGGCATCACATTTCCTGACTTTAAACTATACTACAAGGCTACAGTAACCAAAACAGCATGGTAGTGGTATCAAAACAGATATACAGACCAGTGGAACAGAACAGAGGCCTCAGAAATAACACCACACATCTACAACCATCTGATCTTCGATAAACATGACAAAAACAAGCAATGGGGAAAGGATTCCCTATTTAATAAATAGTGCTGGGAAAACTGGCTAGCCGTATGCAGAAAACAGAAACTGGACCCCTTCCTTACACCTTATACAAAAATTAACTCAAGATGGATCAAAGACTTAAACGTAAAACCTGAAACTATAAAAACCCTGGAAGAAAACCTAGGCCATGCCATTCAGGACATAGACATGGGCAAAGACTTCATGACTAAAACACCAAAAGCAATTGCAACAAAAGCCAAAATTGACAAATGGGATCTAATTAAGCTAAAGAGCTTCTGCACAGCAAAAGAAACTATCATCAGAGTGAACAGGCAACCTACAGAATGGGAGAACATTTTTGCAAGCTATCTATCTGACAAAGGTCTAATATCCAGAATCTACAAGGAAGTTAAACAAATTTATAAGAAAATCCATTAAAAAATGGGCAAAGGATATGAAAAGACACCTTTCCAAGAAGACATTTATGTGGCCAACAAACGTAAGAAAAAAAGTTGATCATCATTGGTCATTAGAGAAATGCAAATCAAAACCACAATGAGATACCATCACACTCCAGTTAGAATGGCGATTATTAGAAAGTCTGGAAACGATGCTGGCGCAGCTGTGGAGAAATAGGAATGGTTTTACACTGTTGGTGGTAGTGTAAATTAATTTGACTATTGTGGAAGACAGTGCAATGATTCCTCAAGGATATAGAACCAGAAATACCATTTGACCCAGCAATCTCACGAGTGGGTGTATACCCAAAGGATTATAAATCATTCTGCTATAAAGACATATGCACACATACGTTTATTGTAGCACTATTTACAATAGCAAAGACTTGGAACCAACCCAGATGCCCATCAATGATAGACTGGATGAAGAAAATGTGGCACATATATACCATGGAATACTATGCAGCCATAAAATAGAATGAGTTCATGTCCTTTGCAGGGACATGGGTGAAGTTGGGAACCATCATCCTCAGCAAACTAACACAGGAACAGAAAACCAAACACCTAATGTTCTCACTCATAAGTGGGATTTGAACAATGAGAACACATGGAAACAGGGAGGAGAACATCACACACCAGGGCCTGTGAGGGGGTGGAGGAAGAGAGGAGGGAGAGCAGTAGGACAAATACCTAATGCATGCAGGGCTTAAAACCTAGATGATGAGTTGATAGGGGCAGCAAACCACCATGGCACATGTATACCTATGTAACAAACTTGCACGTTCAGCACATGTATCCCAGAACCTAAAAAAAAAACAAGTGTCTGTTCTTGTCCTTTGTCCACTTTTCAATGGGGTTGTTTTTCTCTTGTAAATTTGTTTTAAGTTCCATTTAGATGCTGGATAATAGACCTTTGTCAGATGCATAGTTTGCAAATATTTTTCTCCCATTCTTCAGTTTGTTTACTCTGTTGATAGTTTCTTTTGTTGTATAGAAGCTCTTAAGTTTATTTAGATCCCATTTGCCAATTTTTGCTTTTGTTGCAATTGCTTTTAGTGTCTTTGTCATGAAATCTTTGCCCATTCCCTTGTCCAGGATGGTATTGCCTATGCTGTCTTCCAGGTTTTTATAGTTTTGGGTTTTATATTTAAATCTTTAGTCCGTCTTGAGTTTTTCTTTTGTTTGTTTGGTTGTTTTTTTTGGTATATGGTGTGAGGAAGGGGTCCAACTTCTGTCATCTGCATGTGGCTAACCCGTAATCCTGGCACCATTTACTTAACAGTGAGTTGTTTCCCTAATGCTTGTTTTTGTCAGCTTTGTTGAAGATCAAATGGTTGCAGGTGTGCAACGTTGTTTCTGGGCTCTCTCTTCTGTTCCATCGGTCTATGTGTCTGTTTTCATACCAGTACCATGCTGTTTTGGTTACTGTAGCCTTGTTGTATAGTTTGAAGTCAGGTAACATAATGCCTCCAGCTTTGTACTTTTTGCTTAGGATTGCCTTGGCTATTTGGGCTTTTTCTTTTTTGGTTCCATATGAATTTTAAAATAGTTTTTTTCTGGTTCTGTGAAGAATGCCATTGGCAGTTTGATAGGAATAGCATTGAATCTGTGAATTGCTTTGTGCAGTGTGGCCATTTTAATGATATTGATTCTTTCTGTCCATGAGCATGGATTTTTTTTCCCATTTGTTTTTATCTTCTCTGATTATTTGAGCAGTCTTTTGTAATTTTTATTGTAGAGATCTTTCACCTTCCTGTAACCCTAGGTATTTTATTCTTTTTCTGGCAATTGTGAATGGGATTGCCTTCCTAATTTGGCCCTTGTCTCGGTTGTTGTTGGTATATTGGAATGCTAGTGATTTTTGAACATTGATTTTGTATACTGAAACTTTGCTGAAGTTGTTTATCTCTGGAGGAGCTTTCGGACTGAGAATATGGGGTTTTCTAAATGTAGGATCATGTCATCTGCAAACAAGGGTAATCTGACTTTCTCTCTTCCTATCTGGATGTTCTTTATTTCTTTCTCTTGCCTGATTGCTTTGGCCGGGACTTCCAATACTATGTTGAATAGGAGTGGTGAGAGAGGGCATCCTTTTCTTGTGCTGGTTTTCAAGGAGAATGCCTCCAGCTTTTGCCCATTTACTGTGATGTTGGCTGTGGGTTTGTTAGATAAGCATTTTGTTTTTCTTAATTTATTTTAATTAAATAATTTATTTTTTAAGAGATATGTCTCAGCCAAGCGCAATGGCTCACGCTTGTAATCCCAGCACTTTGGGAGGCCGAGGTGAGCGGATCACGAGGTCAGGAGTCCGAGACCAGACTGGTCAACATAGTGAAACCCTGTCTCTACTAAGAATACAAAAATTAGCCAGGCGTGGTTGTGCAAGCCTGTAATCCCAGCTACTCAGGAGGCTGAGGCAGGAGAATCGCTTGAACCCGGGAGGTGGAGGTTGTGGTGAGCTGAGGTCATGCCACTGCACTCCATGCACTCCAGCCTGGGCAACAGAGCAAGACTCCATCTCAAAAAAAAAAAAGAGATATGTCTCACTCTGTCACCTAGGCTTAAGTGCAGTGGCATGATCTAGCCTCCAGAGTAGCTAGAACTACAGGGACATGCCACTGCCGTCAGCCAAATGGAGCTTTTTAAAGAAATATACCTTCCTTTTTTTTCAATATGACTTTTTATTATTTATTCATTTATTTATTTATTTATTTATTGAGACAAAGTCTCGCTCTGTTGTCCAGGCTGGAGTGCAGTGGTGTGTAATCTCAGCTCACTACAACCCCCACCTCCTGGGTTCAAGCGATTCTCCTGCCTCAGCCTCCGGAGTAGCTGGGATTGCAGGTGCCTACCACCACGCCCGGCTAATTGTAGTATTTTTAGTAGAGACAGGGTTTCACCATGTTGGCCAGGCTAGTCTCAAACTCCTGACCCCAGGTGATCCATCCGCCTCGGCCTCCCAAAGTGCTGGGATTACAGGCGTGAGCCACCAAGCCTGGCCCCTTATGACTTTCTACATAAAAGTTACTAGTAAAGATTCTGTAGTGGGTGAATCTGCAATGGATGAAGATGTTTTGGAGTGAAGCTGAATTGGTCTTTTGAATTTATTAGAAATATTGTACACAAAGGGCCCAGTAGGTAAAAGACCACTCAGCTAAAGTTTTCTGATAATTTTCATGGTCTGCCTGAAATAGAATGTGTTGTAGCACATGACTCTTCAAAACCATGTTTGCTTTCATAACAAAGATTGAAGGTAATTAGCTGGGTTTTCTTTAAATGAGAAAAGTAATATTAACATTTTCATTGTCAGATTATATGAACTGAAAATATTTTTTTAGGTACCAGGGGGACTAAGCTAAGAAGCGAGAAAATAAATGAGACTGTACTATGCCTGGGAAACATAGTTTCAAAATTAAGAGGATATTCCACAGATCAGTCTAAATTATGAAACTTGTATATGATTGAATAACTTATAAAAACTTGTGTTTAATTTTGATTTAAAAATAACCACAGCACTCATTTTCTAAGAATGAATAAAATATTTTTCATACCCCCAATCCTAAAAGTTAGAAAATATATATGTACATATTTTTTTCACAGATATTTAATCTTATTATAAGGGGTAACGAATTTAAAACAGTATTATTACTGTTGCCTTTTAATGTCCAGCAGGGTTTTTTATATTGTTTTGGTTTTGTCTTTTTTTAGATTAAGTAGCATTGTCAAATATTGGGAGCTAATACCAAGTGGTAGTTTAAAGGAGTCAGATTGCTTGAGTTTCAATTATAGCCTACCACTAAATAGCTCTGTGTAACCTTCTATGAGTTTTGTAACCTCTGTGTGACAGTTTCCTCATTTATAAAATGTATATACTTGATATACACATGATGAGGATTAAATGAGGTAATACATCCAAAGTGCTGCCATTTCGTATGCACTGAGCACGTGTAAACAGTTATCATCAGAGTTTGCAGTTGCTGTTTCATGCTAAAGTGATAAGAGTTATGGCAGGATATTTTTATCTCAAGAAACTTGTTAAACACTGGGGAAGGAAGGAAACAATTCCCGTTCTTGATTTCTGGGAACTATTTATGATTATATTAATATTTAAAGCATTCTAGTTTGTTGAAGTCTTATCCCCCAACATTAAAT